CACGCCTTCTTCCAACTATTAGATACGTTTACAGAATCAACTGACTGCCTTTGCAAAATTGTATTTATATCATTCACACAAACCCTCCTTACAATCAGCACGATTATCAACACATTGTTTTGCTGACTCCTATTCCACCACTAGATGTCACTGAAACAAAGCTGTGAATGAATGAACCCACTTTCAAGTGGGTCAGTACTGGTTCTCTGCTTCATTTGCACATCACTACTTTGTTGTGTTTCTCCCATTCCTGGTGAACGCCGCTGTTACTTCCTTCCCTGTTGGAAACCACACAGCATCAGCTATGTTGACCACTGTGCAGTTTGGATTATGGAGGGCTGCACTGGAGCACATTTAATAGACATGTCACACAGTACACTGAGTAACCAAAAGCTAACCGTTTTATCTGAGAGTTCTGCGGGAAATCTTTCTAGGTCCTACAACATTTATGCTGTGTGTGGTGCAGTATGTGTTAATTACAGTGCAGTCATGTCCCAACGTTTCATACGCAGTGCCAGCTGATAGAAACAAATAAAATATCTTCGGTTACATCTCTTTACTGAGGTTAGATTTTTTTTTTTTTTTTTTTAAACTGTGTTTTTCCACTTCCTCCTTTGACCATTCCCCCTCTTCCATTTTGATAATTTCTACAATCTCCCTCCAGGAATTCACTGACATTTGTAAATCCTTATACTGATGCTATGATTATTCTTTTATTAAGAAATTAAAAAAACAGCAGTGAAAAAGTACAATGCACAGGAGGACTTGATAGTGTTTTCTCACTGAAGTATCACTGGGACATTAAAGGGAATACACAAGCATATGAAGACTATGGAACAAACTTCACTTTTTATGATGCTCACTGTATTTACCAACAGAGGGAGCTGGGAAAGTTGCATTCAGCTAAAACCAGTTTATTGATCTTTAAAATTATTAATTGCAAACCTGGGACCTGCATACTTCGTTTATATTTATATTTAAGTGAGCTATATATAAACATTTCCCAGCATTTCCACAGGACTCTAGCTTTAGGAAGAATTGGGTGCTGGCTTGAAAATGAGCCTTACTGGCCACCGTTACATTAAAATTCTGAGCATTACTTTGAAACGCCTGAACTACAGCATTCTTAGCGGAATGAATTGGCTTAGAGTGGCAGCACAACTAATGAAAGCGGTAAGGAGGTGAGCCCAACACCTGTTTAATACCTGTTTAATAAATCACCTCCAGCTGAGTCTTACCTGTGATGGTGCCGTGGACCTGAGTGCCGTTCTTCAACTCGATGGTAACAGTCTCATGGCTGAGCTTCATCAAAAACCTGTGGGCATCGTGGAAGAAGATGAACGTCTATGTTTGAGTTCAGCCTGGAAATGAACCAAAAACTAGCCTCAAGCTAGCTACTAGCTGCATAGCTTTCACCTGCAAAACAAAACCACCCCTGGAGTGAGACGACCTTATGAAAACCCGCTGAAACCCTCCAGAGTTAACCGCCATAACTAAAATAAATACTGGACTAGCTTTATGCTCCTGCTACTACACATTTAGGCTACGTTTATTTCGTTCGCTGAGTAGCAGCTTAACCGAGGCCGGACCTACGAGTCTGCTAACGTCCACGAACCAAAGTACGTTTAAAAATCGTCGATGCATGCAGCTAATTCCAACTACCGAGCATGAGTTAACACTACAGGTGTAGTTTAACTGTGAGTGCGGTCATTCTAACTCCGAACAGCCTCCATTCATTCGGCCCGACGCTTCCCGCTCATATCTTATCCTCCTCTTCTCCGCTTTCCATCTAAACCCATCCAGCCGCAACGCCTTCACTTCATCATCCCACGTTCACTCGTTCGTTAAATGGCGCATTCCAGACTCCGCTTACCTGACTAGTTTCATGATGGTGATGGACTGTAGAGACAAATCCTCCACCAAAGAGAAAAATTGCAGCGATCGGGTGAAAACACACACAGGCCGCTGTGGTAACAATTACGTTTGACTCGCGCACTTACGACGTCATTAAAGGAGCGACGGCGATGAAGAAGAAGACACGCTGCACGACAACACTGCCGCCTACTGGTGGAAGAATAAACAGCGTTTTGAACTTATGCTCCGAATCTAACAAATATTTGGATTTATTGAACTTTAAAGAAAATATTTAATAGAAGGAATGCGTATATACATTTTTATTATAATATATGTTGTCAAAGTGTCAACATTAGTAAACTATAACGACAGTAAAAACTTACTGTGTGTAAACTAAATAACAAATAATCAGAAAACGCTACAATATAGCGCAAACGTCTTGAGATATCCTTTATACTTTGCTAGGAAAATGGATCTTCTTGACAGACATCCTTCCAGTGAAAAAGATTTCTGATAAGACTGACCAGTAGGTGTATGAACTGAAGAGCCAGATGCATTCCTGAGCTGTAAATAAAAACTGAAAGACCTTCAGAAAGCCTCAAGAACAGAGATCAAGAAGTTTGGCTGCTTAAAAGCAAAATATAAAGACAGCAAGGGGTGACTCAAGTCTTTTGCACAGTGCTGTGTCTTGTTTAAGTCTTTGGCAGTTTGGTCGTACTTAGTGAGGCTGAGATGCCGCATTGGATTTGTGCTGTAATAGCTGCATATCTAAAAATTTTCCTCCTGACAGATTACAGAAATAAATCGTGAAACTAATCAAACTGAACATTTTACACAATGAAAACAAATTAAAATAAGGAAAGCCTTCCCAAACCCCAAATCAATTAAAAAAAAAAAAGTAATAAAAACAAAAATCTAACACTTCTGTTCTCCTGATGTGCAGCTGTGTTAAGTTTTTTAAATAAATGCAGTCTAAACCTAAAGATAATGGGTTTACTTATCATTTCCATGTACATGCTAAGAGCTGTTGCGGACTTGACAGCAACATGAAGTGAAAAGACGTCAGTCTACCATGTACATTAGGATAAATAGGAGACTAATCAGGGAACATGTTCCCTTTTCTTGCTGATGGAAGCTCAGAAATCAAAGCACTAAAACAAAAAAAAATAAAAATGTCACTGCAGTGCACTTTCAGTTCTTTTTATTGAGAGTAAACTTTGCACTGACACTTTCATTTTTAGTTTTGGCCACACATCAAACCCTTTCTTTTGACCAGCTGGGAATGTATCAAGTATAATCTGTGAGAGTGCAATTTCAATCTCTTAAACTCTGAAGATGTCAGATGAGGGAGCATTAAATCATAAACACTAATGCAACCGCTTGCGTGACGCCATCGATGCCACACACACACACACACACACACACAAAAAAGAAAAAAAAAAGGGAATATTTAGCCGCTGTCCCTCCGCAGCCCCACCAAACATCCGACATTCGGCAGCATGTTTCTGCAAAACAAAGACGCAGCGTGTGCCCAAACACTGACGTGAATCCCCTCCATCCTCAGGGAGCGGAGCCTGAAATGTCACAACTGCCCTCACATCGCAGCGGGCTTCGTGCAATGCTATGAGCCAGCTACCTTCACAGTTCTCACTTTATCACTTCAGGTTTCAGAAAATGCTTAAAAATCAGTTTTAAGTGAGTCAGTTTGAGTTTTACAAAGGGTGTCTTTGTATTTGTTTGGCATGCCATCAAAGGACATTTAAAATCCCCACATTTATTCTCATTTCACTCCCCAGAGCACCAAATCAGTCCTCATCACAGCAGGCAGTGTTTAGTTCCCTTGTAAACATTGTATTTGGGCAATAAAGTTTAAAGATTTGAGGCTTGATGACATCCCAGCAGTTACATTTCCAAGGCGGCGTCAAATCAAAGTTCAACATTCACATAAAGTGTTTTTTGATCATCGTGGAAAAGCAGCGGATTCCTTCAGAGAGGCTCAAAGAGCTTTTTCATTCAGGGCTGAAAATGCGGGCGCTGCGACTCACCCGTGGGGGGGGGGGAATTAAACAAAATCAGTGTATTAAAGTGTTTTCATCATCATCATCATCTTTCATTAAGAAGCATGTTTAAAAAGCAATGACACTAATAAATAGCAACAGATAAATACAATCAGAACAAAACAAAACAAAGAAAAAAGGCACACAGATCCAACAACTCTGGTCTCAACAGAAAGAAACATCTTCTCTATAATTAAAGGAATAAAAAGAATCAAATACAGCAGAAACCCAAACCCACGTCCCATCGATTAGAGCACACTGCAGGGTGCTATAAGTAGTGGAAAAGATATGATAAAAAGTTACATAAAACCATAAAATGTGCTCACATTTACAGTATTTGTTATGCCTGCTTTGGCTCAGAAACCGCACGACTCAAAGAACCAGCTCACACGAGCACCAAACAATAAACAGATTCATGAATCAGTGCAGCAGTGTTTTAACAATATATTCTCATTTATTTTACAGTCGTATAAACACCGTTTAACAACAGCTTCTGTGAAGACAAAACTTGTGAAAGTGGCTGAAATCTCGCTTTTTATGAAAAATCAGCTTGTTTAAATGTGCTGCAGTGTAAAGTCAAACTTTAAAAACACATTGTGTATAATCCAAAGTGATAAAGCATATCTTAGTTTACCATCTGCTAACTGTTTACTCTTTTAATTGGTTTAACATTTAATAATTTTGATTGGACGACTTGTTTGAAGCACTTTAAACCTTTTGACTGTATTTTATTTATCAGGTTTAATAAAGTAAAGGATCATTCTGAAGTCAGTCTTCAGCTTAAAATGCCAAATTATTTCCTCTGTGATATTTGTAGTTTCTTTTTTTTAAATCAAAGCAAGTATGAATGATCTGAGGAGGTTAAATACTGGATATCATTATTCTCAGATTAATTTGATTGGTTGATGCATTACCTCATTTAATACCCACTGTATTTTGTGTGCTACGTGAGATCTGGTGCACTAACACTGAGCCAAAGTGGCAGAAAAACACTGTAAATCTCTGCAGATTAAACATGAAGATGCATCTTTGATACAAAACATTTGAAATGTGCAGCGAGTAGCAAAAAACAAACAAAAACCCCCCCCCCCCCAGAACAAAAAAAACAAAAACAAAACAAAAAAACAAAAAAAACAGAACTCAATCTGCTCTGCAAACAAGCACCCACTGAACTTCCAGCTTTATGGGCGCTGCTCTGCAGCTGGGGCTGGCCTCTGACCTTCACGTGCAGAGAGGTGCTGTAATAGTGTGACGTTTACGCAGCAGACTGTGCCAGTCTGCTGAAAAGAAAGATCAGGACTGTATTGGCACTAACACAAACAGGCACAGTGTGCATGAAGGTCCAGAAATCAGAATTAGGCCCTCTGATTGTACAGCACGCTATAAACAGGCTCCAAAGTTACAGTTATCTTCATATATTTGGCTCTTGGAGCTCTGAACTGGCTTGTGGTTGGGTTAGTGTGAGAATCAAGTGTAGTTAAATGAGGCAAGTTTGGATTTCAGCATGAACAGCACCAAAACTTCACCCTGAACAAACTTAGGAGACAAACAGAAGAGGTGGGGAATTCAATTAAAATAAGAAAAAAACTAAACTAAACTAAAACACGGAGCATTTTGTTGTGTTATGATATCAGTAGCTCTCCGTTCATGGTTTAAACACTTCAAAGAATAATTTGTCTGTTTTTAGAGCAGACAAAAAGCACTTAAAAATAATCAAAACGTGTATGACATCATCTTTCCTGGACAGAGTCCGCAGGTCTTTAAGTCCTCTCTAAATACAGTATAATACATACAGTAAACACTCCACCCCCCAAACACAGGCACCACCATCACACATCTTGCATCATCCATCAGTGCTTCTCTCTGATTGGTTTTCTTTCTCTTTATCTCGGCTCTACCTTCTCTTTCTCTCTACATCTGTCACTTTCACACTAGGTGTTCCTGCTCCGTCCACTCTTCAGGTGACCGGTCCTCCTCTAACTGAAGGACGAGGTCTGAGTCTCTCTCCATTGCCGGGGCAGTGTGTGCGGGACTGTTTCCATGTTGGGAGTGTGAATGCGGGTGTGTGTGCGCTTCGTCCAGCGACAGGTCAGCCACACACCCTGCATCCACACCCTCTTCTCCAGCGTCTCTTTTTTCCAGCTCCAGAGTGCTCGGCCTCGACGTCTTCACGCCCTCGGCTCCCGGTGGGCCGGTCGCCGACCCTCTGCCTACTTCCGACTTGCCCTCCAGGGGCTGCCGGATGGGGGCGGAGGTCTGGCTCTCAGTCTCGGTGTGTGTGTCGGGAGAGGAGTCTGTCTCTGTGGTGGGCGGGGAGGGGATGAGAGCCAGGCTCTGCGGGTTATTCTGGGGGTTTATGTTGTTGTTAAACCAGGCCATGATGTTATCCAGCAGCTGAGCGCTGGCTGTGGGGTCCAAGGGCTCCAGGCTCTGAGGGTCACTGGGGGTGAAAGGGCCCCCTGGGGGAATCACTGGTGAGAGCAGCAGCTCTGGCTCAAGCTCTGGAGATGGGAGGCACAACTGGGTAGGGGGCTGGGGGTCTGATTTAGGGGGACGTTCGACGGCGTAGGCAGCAGGGCGCTCTGCGGTGTAAGAGCTGCTGTGTTCGGGGCAGGGGTTGTAGGAGCTGTCTGGTTTAGGGTTGCTGTTGTACATGGCTGCATGTTCCCGGCTATAGGAACTAGGATGTGCGGGGTTTGGAGCGGGGAGGCAGGAGGCGGCGTGCTCAGCCTTGGCTAAATATGCACTCAAATGGCAGGAAGTCTGCTCTTTGCTGTCATAACGAGGGTCTGTGATGGTGATATGATCGAGCACATATGGGGCAGTCAGTGCACTCTGATCCTGTCTGTGGCTGCTGGGGTTGCTGCAGGCAGGTTCAGTGGTGTAAGGAGCAGCATGTGTACTGTGTATGTATGTGTGGTGTGAGCTGAGCTGCTCCTGCGTGTTTGTGTCCAGGTCGTAAGGAGTGGTTATGCTCCCCAGTTTCATAAGGCTGTCTCCCAGCTCCAGCAGCTCTGCGCTGAGGGAGGGAGGAGGCGGAGGGAGGGGGAGGGAGCTGGATACACAAGGCTGGGAGGTGGAGTCTGTCCTGTTAGGCGGGTGAGGAGGATCCAGGATGGACGCGGGGAAGGATGAGCCTCTGGCTCCTGGAGGACCCTCTGTGTTGAGAGAGTGTAAAACAGCATCGACCAGGTCTCCCGCTGGAGCCGCTCTTCTCTCCTGATCCACCCTCCCCTCCATCCCTCCCTCCAGTCCTCGTTCTCGGCGCGACTCCTGCAGCGACAGCTGGATGGCCAGAAGGATGTTGGGATCGTCTTCGTCGAGCGAGCCGAGCGCTCTCCTGCGACCCTCGCCCCTCTCCGTGCCTTCTGAAACACGAAATGTCACATTAAAGCACAGACTGCTGTGCGTGGCTTGATTACAAATTGATCCCAGTGATCGATGGCTCTGGGTGCTTCGACTGGAACAGACTGATGGAGCAATAAAGTAAAATCCCATTTACTGGTTGTCTTGTGCACTGACAAGACAATTTATTAATATAGGCAGGATCCAGAACAGAGTGTTTGCCAATATACTGCCTGTACCGGCTGTATACAGAACAATAAATTAATGAACACTACACTGTATTAATCTGAAAAAAAAATTTTGTTAAATACTTGATATAAGCCAGTTATACGGTGCATTAAAATGCTTGCCACACCTGTGTTGTCACTCCTCCTGCTGGTCTCTGGTGTGTTACTGCTGCTTCTAAGGCTGTGCAAACTCAGCATGTCTCCTCTGCGCCGTGGTCTGTGTCTGCGACGGTACTGGATGTCAGCATAATCCTGCAAAGAGTTATTCGAGTTCTATTATAAGAAAAAGACAACTTGAGGGAGCTATTTTGTGTCAGGCAGCATCAAAATCTCAAGCACAGAAAACAACATTCAGCCCATCATGCTCGTCCCTAAATATGCCAAAAAAAACCAAACTGGTGAATTACCTGCGACTGTCTCTCTCTCTGATCTGCTCCCAGTACGGAGTGCCGACTTCCCATCTTAACAAACATAAGCAAACTATGTCAGCTGCTGCCGCCGCAGTCATGCATTAATACGACCTCATACACAAGTAGGTCACTAAAGCGGAGGTTTAGGAAGTAGCATTAGCGAGGCATGAGCCAAGATATTAGCAGAACGAAGAGAAGTTAGTGTTTGTGAGTGTGGTGTGACAGAAGGCGTTTGTGTTTACCTCAGGAGAAGCAAAGCCAAGGTACTCCCAATCCCACGATCCTCCAGGGTAACTGAAATGAATGTTAGCACACAATTACTTTTTTTAAAAACACATTTGAAGCAAACTAAACAACACTCAGCTTCAGTTTAAGTTCTTATGCCACTTCTTTATCCCCTGAATCCCTCTAAGTGGCTCTATGTAGTGAATTTGTTAACTTGAGCCAAAATTAGAACCATATTGTCTCTCTGTACGTTGTGTGTGTGCTTTCTTACTTCCTGCGAGGAGGCTCTGGAGAGTCATTGGGAGCGACGCCACGGGCCACTGATGCCAAGAACTCCTGCCTCTTCTGCTGCACCAGGCGGGCCGCACTGATGATCTTATGGCACGGCGTCCTCAGGTACGGACGGTTGACCTTCTGGGCCAGATCCTCTACGACCATCTCTAAGTCAGTCTGGGAGGACAAACAGAAGAAAGTGTTACACCGTCTTCCCCCCGTCAGACTGTGTAATCGTCTTGCAATCAACAGTGGTAGGTTGATCGTGCTGCTCAACTTCTGCATGACCACTTGGTTGCATCAAGTACTTACACTTGCAAAAATAGCGCAATCACTGATTTTTCCTAATAAGAGGTTTCCATCCCATTTATAATCTAGTGTGACTGAAATGCGAAAAAAACCATTAAACCGATTCTTTTGTGTGTATATTTTAACAGATGTACCCAGTCCTCTGTCCACCAAGGCCATAATACACCCCAAAATTTGTTTATGTTCTACACAGTTTACCCCTACAGAGTCCAGGAATCCCTGTAGGCACTTCAGGGGTGTTAGTCCTGTTCATGCAGAGGATGCACACTTGTTGGATATATATTAAAATACCTGCATGAGCTCAAATATCTCTTTCTGGGTGCTGCCCTGCTGGAGGAAGAAGCCGTATGGGTAAGAGCACTTCAGCACGCGCCGCGTCTTCAGCAGCTCAGTCACGCCGTCCTCAATGAAGCGTGTGTCTGGGGGAGTGCCTTCACCTGCAGAAGAAAAGACACGTGTTTTATAGCTAGCCATGACTTTAATGAGCACAGGATTAATGTCTTATGACCCGGACGCACCAAAGCTTGGGTGTGAGTCTGAAAGGCATGACCTATTTGCGCTTTGGCAAAAACAAATGCTATTCTCGGGCAAACGGCTTGCAGCTGACAAGCAGTTTACTCAGACTTCTTTTGAATCCTTTTCATGAGATCAGTGCAGGACACTTACGGCTAATGAAGGCCCTGCTCAGCTGCTCCATCTTCTCTTTAGCCGTTTTTAGCAGCTTTTGTTCCAACTAACACACACACAGACACACACACACACAGACACACACACAGACACACACACACACAGACACACACAGAAGAGAGAATACACACACCAAATGATCACGAGATGTTTCTCTGGAAGCATTTTTGGGCGAGGTTTGCATCGTTATGAACGTATCTGTCGAGTGTATTACCTTGTAACTGTGTTCATGGTTCTTGAAGCGAGTGTAGTAGTGCATGAAACGGTCCAGCTCCTGGAAACTTTTGTGCTTCTTTTCTGCCTGTAAAAAAGAAAAATTCTTACTTCATTTAAACTCCTCTGTGTGTGTGTGTGTTTACTCACTGTACTCAGTGAAAGAGACTGAACAACTTGTATATTTGTGTGAATACAGACTCACTCAGCTATACCTACAGTATTTAGCTGCTCATTAATACATATATCTAATCAGCCAATCACATGGCAACAACTCACTGCATGTAGACAGGGTCCAGACAACCCTTTGAAGTTCAAATTGAACATAAGAGCGAGGAAGAAAGGTGATTAAAGTGATTTGGAACGTGGTGTTGTTGTTGGTCTGAGTATTTAAGAAACTGCTGATCTACTCTAAGGTTTACAGAGAGTAAGAAGAGAAAATATCCAGTGAGCAGCAGTTCTCTATGTGAAAATGCCCTGTAGATGCCAGAGGTCAGAGGAAAAAGGGCACACTGCCATGAGCTGATAGGAACACAACAGTAACTCAAACAACAACATTACAACTACGATATGCAGAAGAGCTAAGAACAGGAAACATACATGCTCAGTGAAATTTGACAGAGGATTGAAAAAAATGTTGCCTGGTCTGATGTGTTCCAATTTCTGCTGCCAATGACAAAGTCAAAAATAACATGATAGCATGGATCCATCCTGGCTTGTATCAACAATTCAGGCTGGTGTTGGTCATTTAATGGTGTGGAGGCCCCCTAGTACCAAATAACCATCGTCGAAACACCACAGCTGCTCCATCCCTATATGGCCACAATGTAAAAGTCTTCTGATTGCCACTTCCAGCAGGATTATGCACCTTGTGACCTCTGTGGCCTCCAGTCACCAGATCTCAATCCAATAGAGCATCTTTGGGATGCAGTAAAACACAAGATTCACATCACAGCTGGGCAGGCAACTGTGTGACCCTATTATGTCAATATGGACCAAAATCTAAGAGCAATGTTTTCAGGGGGAAAGGGGGTCCAACCAGGTACTAACAAACTGGACCAAAAAAAAGTGTCCAGCAAGTGTTTCTACATCAGTGGAAGCTTATATGGGATAAAGTGTGTGTGTATTCTCCATTTTATGAGTGAGTAAGTGTTTATACCTCTACAGTCATCTCTTTGGACTGCTCTTCAAGCTGCTGGATGACCTCATAGCGAGTACAGCGATAGTAGCCACCTGTTGATGAGCTGTGTTTCTTCCACTCCTCCAGACAGATCCAACAGAAGTCATACTTACACTACACAGAGAGAAAAACACCAAGGTTAATTTATTAGGAATAAAATTAAATACAGAAAAAAAAATTAATACACCAAGCAATCAACATTCATGCCTTTAAACGAAGACACACAGCAGACAGAGTTTAGTGTTTACCTTGGCACACTGCATGTGGTTGCAGCCCTCATTCTTCTGAATGGGAGACTTGCAGTTGGCACACGGTTTGGAGTTGGTCAGCAGCCACAGGCAGTTAGCAGCATCCTCATAGGCCTCGCTCACACCTGCCACTGTGGGAAAGCACACACAAACACACAGGTGGACGCACACACATTAGCAACATCTCTGCAGTCTAACACCTGGCCTGCAGACACATTCCGGCACATTACGCAAATATTAGTGACTTAAACACCTGCCAGCATCACATAAAATACAGCAGGCACATCCAGATAAGACGTCCTGACAGCTGCTCTTAGCTACCATATTGCTGGGCAGTTAAAGTTACAGTAAAACAAACAAAACAGCACAGGCATACACTCTTCAGGCTTCATCTCTGTGACTTTCTGGAGCCAGTTCCTCCACATCTGACAATCACATGGCTCGTGGGCCTCGCCAAGGCACTCCCTGCAGACACCGGGAGATAAAGAGAGAAGTTAATAAAGTCAAATCCAGCTAACCAAGACTACATAAGCATAAGAGCAAACACAGAATCCTAAGAGTTTCTGGGAATAAAGAAAACAGAAGGGAACACAAAAGAAGTAAAAGTTTCTGATAAAACAGATTTGGCTGGCGTGGTTTCAGATTAAGCAGTAATAACTCTTTTTTGCGTAGTAAGTTAGAACATGTGTATGCACATTTCATAAAACAATATTTATTCATGCCATTATGATCTGTGTGCACAATGCTGACGTTACTGCTCACACAGCAGCCTTTGTCCAGCTGCATGAACATAAAATGACTATAATATTTAGGTGTTCGGGTTAAATAACACACTAGCCTGTAATGTAACAGATCCAGACTTGTGTCCGACTTTGCTAAATTACATGTCAGTGACAGTGTCAATAAAACATGGCCATGTCTGAATCATAAATCCTGCAGCTTACCAGCAGAAGAGGTGACCCTTTCCACAATCAACAGCAGGTGAGGGCAGAAGGGGGAAGCTTGATGGGTCAGTGTCCCCCGGGCCCGGTCGGGTCAGCCTCACCGCCCGCTCGCAACGAGCTGCAGGACACCAACGGATGGATGGATTGTTCTCCACAAATGCCTGCAAACGGGGATGTTGGAAACAATGTCAGAGAACAGACAGGGAATGTGACGAAACAAAGAAAATGTCACTAAATAGTGCAACAAGAAACAGAACAAAGGCCCAGTCTTGAAGAGAAGGTGCAAACGATTATTTTGACTTCTACCTTGATGTCAAACTGCAGATAGCGCTGGTCCATCTCTCTGGAAACCACGCTCTCTATCACATGCACAGGCACAAGCTGGTAGCACTCATATGCTGGACAGAAGATATTATGAGCATCTCCCTCCTGAATCTTTACATTGAGGAACCTGAGAAACACACACACACAGAACTGAGCTAAAACACATCTGCTTCAATAAAAAACACACACGCTTACACACTGAATGTTCATGCGCGTACCCTTCCCAGCAGGCTCTGCAGAACTCGTGGCCACAGGACATGTCCACTGGGTCCTCAAAGACTGAGATGGAGCAGAGACAGATTCCACACTGCAGGGGGGACGAAGCAAATCAGTCACATGATTTCAAATTTTTTTATTTTTTTATTTCTGCTGATAAGATTACTTCTCTTTGACATGTCATTTCCATCCTCATACACAGAGGAGAAATGCAATAGCAGAACCAGTTCAGGATGTTCTGTCTTTGATTAACTCTGTACTTTTGAGGCCACAGATTGCTGGACTGTTGTACTTTAGCCATATCAGACGCTGGCATTTCTTCTACGGCCCAAACAGCTTTTATCTTATTCTGCAAATGTTCCACCTCACAGGTCAAACATTCTGAAAACCTAACAGAAAACCTCAACGTTGATTTTCAGGCAGACTTCCTTAAGACTGACAGTAAACCAGAGGCTAATGTTTATATGGAATGACAAAGAATTACTGCTGATGGACTTGATCCCCTTTTTAGTAGGATTAGACATTAACCTGCAACCATTAGATAAATGAGACATCGTTTTCTGCCTTCAAAAAGAAAGCGCACAAAGAGTCTACCCAGTACTAAATATGCCTTCATACATGATCTATTTTTCATCATGAATGACTGATGTTCTTATATTAACATACATCACCACTGCTCACCATGGCCAGGCCCTCCTCTCCAGGCGTGAGGCAGCTGTCGGTGGTAGAAGTGAGAGTGAGAGTGAGGGGAGAGCGTGGGGTCCTAGGAGTGCGGGGGGAGGGCAGGGTGTCCCAGGCGTTGTACCCGCTAGGCGGTGGGGTCGGCATGGTGACACCAGAGCGCTGGCAGCAGCCCTCAGCGTCGGACATCCAGGCTTCCAGAAGCTTTTCTCTGTCCCAGTCTGAGCAAGTCAAACGTTATTAGAAAGACTGAGACAAACGCATGCATCATGACAACAGCGCTGCGAGGGTTACTTAAGGTCACATATGAACGTCAACTTTATGACAAACCATGTGCTCGAAGCAGGGCCTCTGCAGTGAAGAGGGGGGCTTGCAGCATGTCGGCTGTCTCTACAATCAACATGTCCTTCAGCCTGCGCAGATCCTGAATCTTCAACCCCTCGTAAGGCTGAGAGGATACAGAGGGGGAGAAATGTTAGGAAGAGAGAAAAACCAGCAGTCAGAGGGAAGGTAAAAGATGGAAACAAAAACAGAATATAAAATATTAGACTGAAAAATGTTAAAAGAAGTGAAAAAGATAATGTGGAAATGATAAAAAGGACTGGGATGTGGGGCAGTCGGGGTTGGGGGTGGAGGTGGGTGAGACAGATTAAGCATTAGCATGGATTTGGCTGCAGGAAGGAAGATCAAAATGCTATCAGCTGGCAGCAGCCGCAGCTATACAGCGGTGCTGGTGACCTCGGTTTAACTGGGACTCTGAGAGACGTGGTGTGTGTATCTGTGGATCTGTGGATTACTATATACGTGTAAGAACCACTGTAAGTTGTGGATTGTGAAGAGAGAACATCAACAAGGGACAATATGGCCAAGAAGCTGGAGACCCGAGTAGAAATATTCTGAAAATCTATAAACAGTGTCTGCACAAATGCAGAACACAAAACACTAAGTACAGTTCAGGTTGGACACAGTGTTGAAACAAAATCACATACATGACCTTCAAAATACAGACAGCACATTTTGCCCCCAGATTGTTTTAATCTACACAGATTAGCAATGGTGACCTCACTGTCCTAAGATATATAGTCTTGAATCTGAAAAATAAACACACTGTACAAGTTCATGAGGGCAACCATCTACCTCTTTATCTTCACATGATTTAAATTTGACCTGCTATGCTTACGCTTCTTATTTTCTGTCATATTCATGTTACAATGATAAACGCTTATGTTGATGTCCAAAGTTTCAAATAATGAGGTCAACGTGCATGTAAGTAATCCGTGTAAGCCTAAAGCTCAGGATTCAGAGCGCCATAAACGCTCTGCTTCACAGACAGAGCGCCTAATCTTGGATCTTTATGATATCAGTGGAAACTGATAACAATTCTCAATATGGTCATCTGAGGCACACAGCTCCGACTGTGAGACAGAAGCTCCTCGCCGTTTCGTTTTTTTGGTCACGATGGGCAACCACTCAGAAGAAAGCCGCCTTAAAGAGAGAGGAGCTAAAGCAGCTTGTTCCAGGCAGTAGATGAGCTTAAGTGCTGCACAAACATTAAATAAATACACATTATTCTATACTGTGAATTAAGCAAAGCTATCTTTGATTAGTGCTGTGCCATATCATATAATGGCAATAATACCGGTATAAATTCTGGGCTTGTCTCATTGTGCAACAACACAGACAAGCAGACACGTCTGAGAGCGAAAGCTACGTGTCATTCTCTGATCACAATTCAGTATCTAAAAAAGGAGCCACTACAGTACTTTGCAAAATATGCAAGAAACATTAAATTTGTTTCACCAATTGAGGCAAAACAAACCATTGAGTACAACCAGGCTATGAAGAAATATGAGGAGCAGATACTAGCAATCAAAACTTAAATGACTGCACCGAGTCCCGCTGGAGCGCTCACTAGCTGCACTCCATATGACAAGAAGACCAAGCTGTGGGTGGAAATTACTGATGCATTTATATGGTGGTAAATGAGGGCTTTAAGCAACTGGTTAAAAAGCTTGACCCAAGATATTTTTGTGCTTATGCCATGTCACTGCTATTGTACGTTCATGCTGCTGCTGCTGCTGCTCTGAATCAATGGCAGTAACTTAATGAAAAAGAAGAATGGAAATGCTATTCATTTCATTTGCACTAATAAATGCTGCTACCTGCAATCACAGATAATCTGCTATTCAGTATTTTGTTTTCTCCATTATCACCAAACCCTAGCATAGATATAGTCCACAAGTGAAAATAGGGAGCTGGAAATGCTCCACCTAAAGAGTAATCTGGTGTAATCACATTATTGCCATACATTTACCAGTCCTCATTATCTTCATAAAACAAAAAGTCGAACCTTAAATCTGATAAATATTTCAATTCTTGTTTGAATTTTTACACAAGAGTTGTTTTCTATGCAAAAATGTAATCATAAGATCTAAATGAACATGCTTGTGCACAGTAAGGATACTCCTTGTCAAGCAAATGTTTTAAAGACTCAACAGTGACTAAAAAGCTTAAAAATAACTTAGGCCAGCAGGGAAACCCTACATCGGGTAACCACGGTCTCACCTCCTTGTACTGCAGCAGGTTGGTTTCACCGTGTGCGTCTGTGTGTGACTGCTGAGCTGAAGAGGAGGAGAAAACCATCTGCGACTCCAGGCTGAGGGCCAGCTCGGTGTGGTGGTGCCGCTCGGCGTGATCGCATGGCGTCAGCTTGTCTTCGTCCTCCACAAAAAGGTCCGCCTCACTCTGGATCAGCAGCTAGAGGAGGGACGAGGCAACAAAAGGAAGGAGAGAAAGAGATAATAGAGAGAAACAAGAAATTAAGGCACTTTCAACAAATGACGCAGAGGAAGGAAGAGGCAAAGACAATGGGAGCAAACAGCAGGAACACAAAGGGGAAGATGAAAAAACAACAGGACAGGAAACCAAAAATATGGGAAAGGGGAAGAGATGAAAAAAATTACAAAAGGAGCAAAGGCAGACAGTGAAAGAGATTAAAATCAACAGGAGTCAAAAGACAGTTTTTGGTAAGTATAGATCAAGAAGGTTGAAGGAAGGATGCAGAAGCCAACGGAAAAGTCTTTAAAGTTTTTATCTTAAAAAAATCGAATTTCTGATTTTCACAGGGTCGTACATGTGAGATTTATGAAAACTTTTATTCCAGAAGGTTAATTTTCTGCCGAAGTGCTCGTTTGAGCTGGTAAAATACAAAGCAGATATACGAGGAGTTGGCATAATTCAAAATCATTGGATTGTAGATTATTTGACTGTTCCAGTTACATAAAATACAGATCACCCACAGAGAAAATAGGTGACCTTTGGGTAGTGACTACACATGCAAGCATTCATACAGGGTTAAAAGAGTCTGTTACTTAACAGACGTATCTGTATGTTACTGTCATTACAACCACTTCATATTCAAAAAGTGTATTTTAACTTTGAATCAACTAAACCACATTTAAAAAAGGGTTAAATTATTGTTTTTTAAACACTGCCCTGCTTTTTGACCTTTGGTTGAAGGTCAAACCTCTTTGTTGGACTCCAAACATTTTCATATGCATGAAAAACCCTGGAGTTTGAATAGCGTCCAAGACTTTGTCTCACCTCCACACAGCTCTTCATGCCTGCAGCGGCAGCATAGTGCAGACAGGTGCTGTGGTGGTTGTCGGTGGCGTTAACATTAGCTTTCTCGTACTGGCCTCCCTCTAGCCTGGCCCCAGTCCAGTTCAGGATCATCTGGTAATGGAAAGACACACCACATGTGTCAGCTGTGGCTTCATAGAATGCAGTTTATTCCCACTACCATGCAAGCGTAGACACTAATCTATATTTGCCCCCCCGTGCGTCTGTACCTGCAGGCAGTCTGCACGGCGCTGCTCGTCCCTCTGTGGTCTGGCCAGTCGTGGTGACAGCGCTCCCTCTGGCAGCAGCAGGATCTGTGGGCCTTGGCACAGCACATGCAGGCAAGTCTCATTGTGCACATTGCGCTTGTTGGGGTTTCCTTCTTTGCTGAACAGGAAGGACCTAAATGATGCAGACAAGAATGAAGAGATTAGATAAAAGAGGGTAAAACCAGTTCAGAGGTATTCACATGTGAGGTGGAAAGAGAGGAAAGGCCTGACAGTAACAGGAGGAAGGCTTGAAACCGAGTCGAAGAGAAGAGGAAGATGAATTATGGAAGTAAAATGGACAGTGAAATGAAGAGACAAGGTAAAGATGGCATAATATCGACTATTTCTGTTTAACATCTTTGAGATAATGGACATGCTGGCTGACGGGTGTGAGCGCAAATACATGCACACAAACACACACACACTTAGCGGGTGATGGATGTGCCAGTTGCTCTGGGAGTAAGACTGTAGCTGCAGTTCTGTTTAGTAAAATAGTTTCCCCTGCTTTATGTCTGTGGAAACCTCCATTTACTGATTACCTCTCCACTCTTTTATATGCCTCAGCACCTTTCCCTTTTCAAGTTTCTTTTTACATTTTAAAAACCAAAGTCTCTTTTTGTTTTTCCCCCCCACACCTTCCCATTTACGATAAAGCCAGCGAGGAAAAACAGATTCTTTTTCATCAGCGGCACAGCACAAATAGTGTTGCACATGAAATGACTCTCTCTAATGCAAATCCAATAAAAGGAGAAGAAAGAAATAGGATGTCACAGAATTGACAATTGTAAGGACACCAGCTGAAAAGATTTTGTAAAGCCTCGCCCTCTCTTGCACAATTTGGACACGGCAGTCGATGCTTCTGAATTTGAAGTTTCTTAGTGTGTAGTCCTTCAGTCTATTCCTCCACTGCTGCCCTGCTTTTCCACTTTTGACCCTCTTATCCTGTCAGCCACAAGCCCCTGCAGCTTCTCTCTAATGACAGTGCACTGCCAATTCATCCGCACAGCAATAATCACTAATTATTCCCTCCCAACCCCAACCCAATACCCCCTCCACCACCACCTCGACACACATATGCATGCACAAATCCCGATGTTCAGGATGGATGGCCCTAATATAAGCAGGCTGTGGGGAGGTCACATGTTTTGTGTTGTTGCTGTGAAGTTATTAGTGGAGGGCAGGAAACCTCAGCGGAGCGTTAAAACTAACTACTTTGTCGTACACCTGGCTGAAAAGCAAATCAGCTTGAGGAGACTCAATGCGTCCAAGATATAAATAAAAAAAATAAATAAATGAAGTCGGCAGTTGAAATGTACTCTTTTGATTCTTTCAACAAAAGAAAAACAAACTGTTCACAATGACGTCCGAGTTGTTATTTACATATTTTTTCCTGTGACTTGTCGTGGAGGAAGGGTTACACTTCCTGAACTACACCCAGTTTTCCAGTAATAGGTCTACTTGAGATTTTCCAGTTTGCACTTCTCACGGGATTACTTGCCAATTCGACCCACAGAGACGACTAGCAGAGAGCGAATAAACACAAAGCAGATACGTGTTAAAAATAATCTGAAACAGACTCTCCATCCACCAGCCCACGCTCGTCCTCTGTGAGTCTTTATTTTGTCTGAGATTTCTCGGTCGTCTCTCTATTGCCACTGTCCAACTGAACTGCTGGAACAAAGAAGCCTTTCCTCTGATGCTTATCAGGAGCAGAGCGCTGCGTTCAGCACGCCTCTCTGGCCCATTATAGGTTAGTAGGAAGGAACACAAATAGCACATGGATTGATTCACTGTGTTATATTCTCAGACGCATTAAGCAGTTGCCGAGTCTCAGTTTTTTTCCACCTCCTTTAAACACACACGGCCGTGTGCACACATGCAGATAGACAGATAATGAACCCCCCGCCCCCCGACCCCCCGTAATCATGGTAAGAAAGGCTAAGAGAGAGGACAAATGGGAGGAGAAGGAGAGGAGGAAGACTACTGAGTCACTGAATCAGCTGTCATGGTCAAGGCCAGCAGCTTGATTATCTCTGCAGGAGGTAACAAAGGCCCACTGGTGTGCTGCTTGCTATATTTTTCTATAGTTTGACCCCTTTTCTTAAGGCTGTGTTTGACTTGGTGACTCTGTGGTTTTTGTCAGTCTGTTGACTTGATTGCTGTTGATGGTGCTGTCTGTCTATTTCTGCGAACTCTTGTTTTGAGAAAGTGTGCAGGCGGCGAAACTCCTCACAGCACAATAGCCATGCAATGAATTCAAATCTTTTAATACTCTTAAAGAGGAACTGTAGTGATTTAGCACCGCACTTCATTAAGCAGAGAGACTCACAAGAAAGAGCTTTAAAGGAATGTACACAAAAGCGGATGGAATTTCCCAGTAAGACTTGCATAGTACTGGAAACACACAAGCCTTAGATCAGATCTGCCTCTCCAGCATCCTTATCAACTTCTCAAAATTGTAATACAAGCTTAGTCCACATACTCTGTGAAGTCTATGAAGCTTTACATGAGATGACCTGAACAGCTGTATTTTCAGACATTAGGAAGCTTCGTGCTGATGCAAAAATATTCTAACAAGAAGCAAGAAATGTGCCAGTGAAGCTAAAAATACTGAAATGTTTTAGTTACTTTATTTACCAGGATGTTGCGTTTGTCTTTGACTTCACTACAGTGTGAATGTCTCGCTAGTTTCTCTGTAATTTCTCTCACCAGATTTCAGTTTGTGGCTATTACTGCGTGTGTGCGAGAGAGCAAGCAGGCGGGGCACAGTAGAGCAAGCAGCATGGTAGCAGAGCAGGAGTGCTACTTGAGTTTATGACAACTCGTTAGCCTGCAGCAAACATCCAAGAGGTGTTAATTTGTCGAACAACCAAAGGCGGACAGATGCTGGAAGCTACTTAGACCACAAGTAGTTCAGTGTCTGGTTTATAGAGGAACCACCTAAGGCCTCAATCACACAGGCCTAGAGATTGGTCAGTGACCATCCGGTCAACCACCGTTCACAAAGGAAAAATTTGTTGGCAAGAGGTAGTTTGAAGCTGCTGCTTTTTGATAGGTGAAATTTGTCGCAAAGAGGATACTGCACTGACAGCCACTTTTCAACTGCTTTGGTTGCTAGCAGGTTCGTGCGATTGCTTGTAGTTTGTATGAAAGATGCCGACTTGTCTGCAAATGCTTGCAAAGTGACAGTGAAACTGTGAGATGTGCGATGCAAAGTGAGACTGACAGATGGAGACCAGAGACTCTCCCATCCCCGCCATCCACTGTTCTTTCTGTATATTTAGGGCTGTGCAGTTTCTATGTCTGGAATGGTGATTGTACAACTTTTACACAGAAGGCTACATTCTCCACTTCTGGTTTGTGAAGCATTCTCAAGTGTCACTAGAGCTCTTAAGAGTAAATACCAAGTGTTTACAGACAAGTCGGCATCTTCCACGCAAACTACAGGCAATCTGCTATCAACCAGAGTAATCACAAAGAAGTTTTCAATGCAGCACTCTCTTTGCGATCAATTTCCAGCAACCATTCGCCAACCAGTCAGGGAATAACATTTTACCCTAGCGACCAGCAGGGAGCAGCAATCAGTCTCGAGGTCTGCGTGACTGAGGCCTAACAAATCCAGCAGGACCAGCTCGTTTCAAAGACAGCAGGGGAGCAATACTTAAGCCAAGTTTTCTTCTGTGCTGAATAACACAAAACAAAACAGAATGACAGAGAAAACAGCTGTTGTGTGCACGGTCAGCCTAGAAATAGCAGTTCTGATAACAGGTCCCGTGAACTCATCGCGTATTAAAACAACAACAAAAAAAATTAAAATCAGAACCTTTAACGAGACTCTCAGAAGTGCTCATTCAAGCCATTGGTCATTTTTGAGATGGTGGCTTTCAGTTTTATATCTTACAAAGTAAGTGCCTTTAAGGGTCTAACTACATTTTATTTCCACAGCTCCTCATGGCTAATGCACTTTCCCCGCTCCCTGTAACATCATTTACATAATCTTACAGTATATATGCGACTGGCGTCTTTGGGCCTCCGCACATTAAGTGGCCTTTCTTGCCATCAAAGGCAATTACAGATATGGTGATTCTCAGAAATGTCTTAAATCTGACATGCTGCTAATTGTTATTCAATTTAACATGACTCACTGCCCTCCTAACTGCACTGGATAACTGCTGCATTGCATGAGACTGACTTTTACCTGAGCAGACGTGTCATGGCGTGGCGGCACACATAGTGCATGGGTGTGTTGTGCTGGTACTGCTCTCCATACGATGCGTTTGGGTCCAGACCGTCCCTGAACTGAGGGTTGCCCTCGTACAGCTGCCAGGCCAGGGCCTCGTCACCGTTCACAAGGGACTTGCGGAACTTGGTGGCTGTGTTTCCCATCGCTTCGGGCTCGCAAACGGCCACCTAAAACGAAGCTGTGGCCAATGCCTCACTACTCCTCTCTTCCTCCTCCTCCTCTTTCTCCACCCCCCCCGTACTCCACAGGTCACGACTTAGAGCAACATGGTTCAGCGTTTCCTTCCCTGCAAAGAAGAGAAAGGTGGGAATTGGTTAGAGAGAAAATGAAGTTGGAAAGAAGGAATAAGAGCAGATGAAAAAAAAGGCAAACAATCGATTGAGTCCATTCATTGATTAGCTGTGTGTTAGATGGACAGATGCCATTTTATAGAAAATAGAAAAGAAAACAGAGAGACAGAAAAAAAAAGACAGTTATAAAGAAGCCAGGCCAGAGGGGAAGGTTGATGATATCCAAGCCATTGATTTGTTAGTTGGTTGATGAAAGACACAGTCGATATTACCACAACTGACCATTCTGGACCATTGTGTCCAGTTAGGTCACTGTTGTAAGATAAAAAAAAAAAAATTTGCATGTCTTCGACTGTTTACATGCTCTTCTGCTACTGAGACTCTGAGAGTGTGTTAAACCATGCAGCACTAACATGCTGGACCCAAACCAGTTTTACTTTGCCCCTCAGCCGCTAAACGAAAGAATCACAAGCGTCATAGCTATGGCTGCCCCAGCAGAGCTTACTCTCCCAGCAACAGCTTATAAACCTACTGCAGATTCACAGGTTATCAAAATATAACCGTTGGATTCCCACCATTCCCTTAAAAAGAAAAACTGGCCTGGCAAGCTTTTTCCCCCCCACCATATCTATACAGTGGGGCAAAAAAGTATTTAGTCAGCCACCGATTGTGCAAGTTCCCCCACCTAAAATGATGACAGAGGTCAGTAATTTGCACCAGAGGTA